GGAAATCTGAGGGATCTGATTTGAGGATAGGTTTGGATAGGTGTTAAATGGGGGATAAATGTTTTTTCTATTGTGAGAGAAGAACCACGGCAAACCCTTAAGCAGACAGGTGGTGGCCCTCCCATTGTTTCAGCCTGATGGTGTTAAGAGGGCTATTTTTGGTAGTGGAACATGGTCACTCTTGGGTCATGCAATAGCCTGGAGCTGATCCTGTTTTGCATGAGCGAAGAATGGCAGAAAGAAGTGGAGAAGAGATTGCAGGAGAGGCAAGGGGGAGGGGGGAGAGTGTCCAGCTTTATTTTATTATTTTTCCATCACAAAAGTCAAATAAACCATTGCAGAAAGATGAGACAAATTAGATGGCACAATTGGAAATAACATGAGAGAAGCACGGGAGAATCTGAGTGTACTTAATATTGCGAAAGGAGAGAATATCAGTAGCTCAGTTAGAGCTGAACTGTTGGGTTCTTGTTGTTCTCTGAGCTTGCTGGCTTTCTGGGAACCTGGGGTGGACCTTTTGGTGCACAGATTTGGTTCCAGGAGGAGATCAGAAGGAAGGACTCAATGGCTTCTCTTTCTTTCCTCATGTTCATGGACAGGTTCATTGCTACCAGCCCCCAGGTTGACCTCATCTCCGCCATACACCATCTTTGTTCAAGGAGAATGGATTTCCTTGCAATGCTCCATCCCAGAAGGATATCGGGGAGAGTCGTTCTTTTTCTACTGCAAGGATGAATCAGGTGCACCCATCCAATATAAGTACCAGGAGAAAAGTATCATCAGTCTCACGATTGCAGATCTGAAGTCAGACCAAACAAAGATCATATGTACATGCAGCTACAGGGAAAAACCTGGATGGTCCTATTCTCCCAAGAGTAACCAGCTGGTCTTCTCAGTCTTTGGTAAGATGAATATTTATGGCCTAGAAATATTCACACCAAAGGCAGCACTAATGCTCAACCCATGAAAATGCACAATAAACATTTCCTTGTATTCAGAAGAAACATTTCCTTGTATTTACGGGACAGAAACTCACACCAGCAAATGGTCCAGTTTTCCAAAAAGTAATCAGATGGCCTTTTCTGGTGATTGTTGGTTATTCTTGCATAGAAATCAGTGACACAGACGGCTGCCTTCCTCCTAAAAACAATAAACTCAATAGACTTTTTACCCATAATAATAATCACTACGTTCCACCTTGAGAAGGTGCTTTCTTTTATGGGGAAATGTCCCTCAGTTGCACTGAAGAAGCAAAATAATTAAAATACACCTGGATTACTCCTTTGTTTGGTAGGAGATGCATCTGCACAAACATTACACAACTGCTTCTGTTCACAAGAGAGGTGAAAAAGGGGATTATGATGATACCAAATGCTCAAGCTTCAGAGTTAGCAGAAGAAGAAACAGACATACTCCCCCATTGCTAGAAACATGACACTTGTGAAAACCAAGGAGTGAGCACTACTGGTTGGGTGGGCATCACCTCCAGAGAAAAGTCATTGTAGAAAAGTTAAGATGATTTTGCATCCTTGTCTCTATCAGTCATGTTGTCAGGGCTTTGAAAACACTGAGGACTTAAGAGAGACCAGCAGAAGCAAAATGTGATCTTCACCATAGAAAGGGGAAGCAATTCTTTATCTCGTGTGAGAAAGGAATCTAGGAAAGAGAATATCAGAGTCAAGAGATCCACGTGATCCATGACCCAAATCTAGCACATCTTCCATTACATCATATTTCCCCCAAATACTGGTGTCATGTTACCTTTTTTCCTCAAACCTGAATACAGCTAAATATAATGAAATAAAAATAATAAAGTTATGAAGACTTTGGGTAATTTGAATAAAAAAATCTATAGAGAAAAATAGAAAGAGCTCAGTGGAAGTTTGGCTCCAGGAGGGGATGAAAAGGAAGGGCTCAATGGCTTCTCTTTCCTTCCTCAGGTTCATGGACAGGTTCATCCATACAAGCCGTCAGCCTGTCCTTGTCTCCTCCACACACCATCTTCATTCAAGGAGAACGA